AGTTGCTAAAATTAGGCTTAATAAAACTTTGTGTGCTAGCTTTAAAAAAAAAGCAGGTGGAGCTAGTGGATGCAAGTGCTTTAGTCACTAGAACATTTCGACGAAAGTGGTGTGAAATAGGAAGAGTTCGTCATTTATCTTTTTCATTCTTGATAAAATGCTCCTTTGTTCTTACCCTATGTTCACAAGCAATGTTTGTACCTGCTTTCCAAGTTAGTTGACACTAAGGAAAGGCCTAGCTTACATAGATTAATATTTTATTTTCTGCATTCATAAAATTTGGGTCCTGTCTCTTGAAGAAATGAAAAATTCACAGACGTGGTGCACACCTGTAATCGCAGCACTCAGGAAGGTTGAGACAGGAGGATCACAAGTTTCACCCCAGCCTGGGCAATTGAGTGACTTAGATCCTATTCAAAGTAAAACAGGGCTAAGGATGTAGCTCAGTGCAAAAAGTTCAGAGTTCAATCCCCAGTACCACGAAAAAAAAAAAAAAAAAAAAAAAAAAAAAAAAAAAAAAGACAAATTAGTCTTTAAGTGCCAATCCACACTGGGTAAATGCAATAAAATAACATGAAAGTACCATTTCTGCAAAGCTAAAAATTTTTTAGAACTATGTAAGTTCTGCCCAGGCATGTATACTCAGGTGCTATGTATTGATCTTTACAATATTTACTACATTATCAGGTTCTATTACAGCTTACTGAAGGCAGCATAGGCTACAACTTAAAAACAGGCTATCAAAGCACTAACTGTAAATGCTAAGGGCAACACCTAACATTTCTATAGGGTTCATTGGGCACCGGCACAACCATGAAACATGTTCTAACTCATTGAATCCCGTAACAACTCAGGCAGGTACTGCTATACTCTACAAATAAGTAAACTGAAGCAAAAGAGGTGTAACTTGCCTGAAGTCCCATATGCTAAGCGGAGGGGCTGAGATTCAGTCCAGGATGCCTGGACCCAAAACTGGTGTTTTTAATGTCCTGCTGGCATGACGATTATCTCTGTATGTATGTATATAGGTACATATGTATGTCGTTAGTGTATTTTTGTTTGTTTTGCACCACCACTCCTGGTTCCAATTTTCTCAGTTTAAAGTCTTATTTGTCAAAAGTTTTGAAATTCCACATATAGTACAGAAAAATATTTCCCAGATCTCCATGAGTAGGTGGTTACAGTGGAAATGATTTATTCATTAATTATGGCTCCCCCTACTTTTCATAAACATCAAACCATTATGAAATTTTCAGAAGTCAGACAAAAATCAAAAATACTTAAACCATTGTTTTAAATTTTAAATATGATCACTTGTCAAAGCATAACTTGAGTTATAAAGTATATGTATAAGAGTTTTATATTAATAGAACTGGATACTAACATAAAAGCAAAGATAGTTTTTAAAGGATACTGTAGTTTTTTAAAGAAAACACATGGAATCTGACCAGTGATTTAAATGGATTCAAATCACTTTCATGTTAACTACAAATCCTTAGTTCTCTAGTTAGAAACTTAGCATCCTTAATACCATAATTTGTTTTATAGATTAGAATGTATTTTACAAGTCAGATGGTAATTAACCTCATTATCATTAATAAAAATTTATGCATTTGCCCCAGTGGTGGTGCACACCTATAATCCCAGCAATCAGGAGGCAGAGGCAGGAGGATCACTGCAGGTTCAAGGCCAGCCTGAACTGCATAGCAAGACCTTGTCTCAAATTAAAAAAACAAACAAAAAAACCTATTCATTTGTGATTTTCTTTTGTTTTTCCTCAAACTGAATGAAATCAACATATGCACTGAACAGCTACATTCCAAAATTTCTATGAAATAAAGAAAAAGGCTCTTTTCGTGAAGGAATTGTACACCATTGCATTAATATTCTACCTCTTCCTCTGGGTGCCAATTATAAGAGTATGTAAAACTTAGAAAAATTAATCAAGCCATAAACTGTTCTGTGTATTATATATACTTCAATAAAAAGCTATATTTCTTAACTCTACTTCACTAAAAACCATTACATAGTATCTTTCTTGGAAGTTGTCATTTTAAAAAGTTTTTTGTTGTTGTTGTTATTTTGGTACTGGGGATGGAACTTGGGACCTTGCACTTGCAAGGCAGGCGGTGGCATCACTGAGCTAAATACCCAGCCCTAAAAAGTTTTGGTTTTTTTTTTAATCAGGAGAGTACTCAACAGCACTAAGCAATACTGAATTTATATTTTCAGTATATGGGGAAAAGGTGCCATTTGACCAGGAATCAATCTTAGGACCTTGTGATTGCCAGGCAGGTGCAGTGCCACTGAGCTAAATCCCCAGCCCAGATCCAAGATTTTCTATGGAACCAAAAAGTGCTACATAATTATTGCACAAATCCCCAAGATTTGAAGATCTCAAAGGTAAAGAAAACATACTTTTAGTTTCTATGGGCTCATTTTATTCCTACAAGAACTTAACAAGATATTACTATACACTTATGGCAAATTGTGTTCTCTAAAGGTGACCACTATGCTCATCCCATATGAAATGCTTTTCTTATAGCGGTGCTTTTCCTCTATTGAGAAATGAATGTTTCCTCTTCTCTAATCTGTACAGAGCTTCATACCAGCCTTAAACAAGAAAATGTGACAGAAGTGACAGCTGTGACTCCCAGGTTGACATGTAAAGAAGAGCCTCCGCCAGCTTGGTCTTCCTCAGGATGCTGGCCTAGAACACTGCCACCAGCCTGTGAGTAGATGTCCCAGGGAGCCCCGGAGACGCCTCAAGCCAAGGAGGAGGACCAACCGCCAGGCCTGGGTGACTGAGCCTTTCCCAAATGATCCAACCCCAACCTTCCCCTCTGCCAGCTGGACCCCTCATAGCACAGAGGGCTGGACACACTATCCTTTGACTGGACTTCTAACCCACAGAAACCAGGAGCCAAGAAATGACTATTACTGGTGGCCGGGCGTGGTGGCACATGTCTGTAATCTCAGCACTCCGGGAGGCTGAGGCAGGAAGATCACTGTGAGTTCGAGACCAGCCTGAGCTACATAGTGAGTTCCAAGTCAGTCTCAACTATATAGTGAAAACCTGTCTCAAAAAACAAAAAACAAAAAACAAAAAAAAGAAAGAAATGACTATTACTGTTTTAAGCCATTACACATTGGAAGTCATTTGGTTAGGCAGCAACAGATAACTGAGCGTGTCACAAATAAAGACACACAGGTAGGAAATCAGGCCAGCAAAGGGCAAAGCCAGAAGTATGTTCCAAGTCAGTCGATACATAAATCCCACTCTCCCATAGGATACTGTGTACAAAACTGTTCAACGATGTCCACATTTCCAAATAAAGCAAAAGTCTCTACCATGAAAGCCTCAGAGCCAACAGTTCACTTCACTGACAGGTTCAAAATCCCAGTTCATTTCTGATGTACCAATGCCCTTCTCACTCAAGTGGCAGCACACTCCATAGTCTGTAACCGTCTCCTTACAACTGCAGACAATTAAGAAGTACCTGAACCAGGCATGGTGGCACACACCTGTAATTCCATCACTCTGAGAGGCAGGAGGATCACAAGTTTCAGCCTAGCCTGGGCAACTTAGTGAAACCTTGTCTCAAAGTAAAAAATAAAAAGGGGGGCTGGGCATGTATATAGCTCTCAGTGCAAAGGCCTGGCTTCAATCTCCAGTACCACACACACAGAAAAAGAAATGTCTGTGCAGCAATAATAATAAGCATTTACAGAATACTTTATAAAGTACTTTACCAATCACTAATTAATTTGATCCTTGGGGGAAAATCTTCTATGAGATAAAGAAGGCAGGCATCATACAAATAAAGTTCCAAAAAACTAAAATTAACTAGCCACAGTACCTGAGTGAAGGATTTGATTCACATTTTCTACCTCCAAATCTAGTTCTCTTTTCAGTTCAATTCAAAAGAACAACTGGGCTGGGGATTTAACTCAGTGGTTCCACTGCCTGCCTTGCAAGCACAAGGACCTGAGTTCGATCCCCAGTATCACACGCCACGCTCTCTCTACAGTGTTCATGGTGTATCCACTTTGTGCAAAGCATCATGCCAGGCACGGCCTCTCCTTCCTGTCCTCTCCTCACCCAAGCTCAGTACAAAAGCATCTGCAATGTAGCTGATCGCCATAAAACATGCTTTCCCTACTCTAACCCATTCTCTGCACTGCCAACCAACTTCTATACCTCCCTCAATCATAGTACTCAAAAACTGTCAAAGACACTACCTTACAAACAGGAGTCCAGGCCAAATTTAACGGTCTGCCTTCCAGGTTTTATGTAATCTGATCCTAGCTTAGACGGTCAAATGCATCTCCCATTTTTGGGGAAAACCTAAGTGAATCTCTGCAGTCTTTCCTGATTCACTTGCCCTCCCCTGGCTCATTTCATCCTCCCTATTTAGAAGAGACACTCAAACGCTCATTCTCAGCCCCAAATGAGTCTCTTCCCTCAGACGGGAACCAACTCTTGGAACTAGAATTCTCAACCTTAACCATCAAGTTCAGTAGCATCATTAACAGCCGACAGGTATTCAGAGGACAGGAATCACTGGGGCTGCCGGAAGCCTTCCAAGACAGCACTGGAAGTGGACTCTTAGTGACAGGAAGGATTTGAACCTGCACAAGAACAAAGCCCCTTCATTAAGGAATTACCTCATGGCCTTCCCTTCCACCTCCTCCTATTTGTGTCTTAGCTGTCCTTCAGCCAGCTTCATCTGCTTGAGGAAGCCTTCCTCAGTTTACTAAGAACCGAACACTCTGTCCTCTGAGCTCCTAACACAGTTACCTGCTTTATCACTCACGCTAGTACTTTCTTCATTGCATAGTGTAGACCTTAGCCCTTCCATCTGAGTATGGACTCCTGGAAGAGAGCAAAGTCTCTACAACAAGCAGTCACATGTGTTCAAGAAAGTCAATTCAGTAGCCATTTCTGCTTCTGGTTTTAAAACTCCACTGAATGTAACAAACACTGTTTCTTAACTTACCTGGCATCTGCTTTGGAATGATTCGTGTTTCCAGGATTAAGAATAATCTTGTTTGCATCAACATCTACCACACATTTGGTATGCAGGTCAATTTCTGCAGATAAAAAAAAAAAAAAGTCATTTTTAAAAAGTAATTTATTTTGGAAAAAGTATTTGACAAAAACCCAACACTCTTTCATGATGAAAACAAACAAATTAGGAATAAAAAACTTGCCCAACCTAACAATGAGCATCTAGAAAAATCCGCTGCTAACATCACACTTGACAGTGAAGGACCTAAGAGCCTAATCTCAGCATGGAATAAGACAAGGATGTTTACTATTCTTCTCTCCGACATTGTTCTAGAAATTCTAGTCAGGGCAGTTGGGCAAGAAAAACAAATAAGAGGCATCCAGATTGGAGAAAGGAAGAAGTAAAACTACCTCTGAAGATACGATCTTGCGTGTAAAAAAAATCCTACCAAATCTACTAAGAAACTCAGAATAAACAAGTTGTGTAAGGTCAAAGGATATAAAAAATACAAAAAATAAGTTGTGTTTCTATACACCAACAATGAAAAATGAAGAAATACAATTAAGAAAACAACTTTACTTATAATACCATCCAAAGTATTAAACTACTTAGGAGTAAATTTAAAATAAATGCCAAGACTTATACACTGAAAATTCCAAAACACTGTTGAAAGAAACTAAAGACATATAAATGGAAAGACATCCCCTGTTCATGAACTGAGTTCATATCATCTAGATGGCAGTACTCCCAAAATCTACAAGGTTGCAGGCAGGAACTGGCGCTGTATCTCAGCGTGTATGTTTTCAGATTCAATCCCCAGCAACACACACAGCGCGTGCGCACGCACACATTCACTCACTGAAATGAATCCCTTTCCAAAAAAAGACGAAGAATAGCCAAAATAAGCTTGAAAAAGAAAGAACTCACAGTCCCTTATTTAAAAGTTTACTACAAATCTACAGTAACCAAGACAATGTGCCACTAACTGTAATTATAATTATCTAGACACAAAGATCAACAGAATACCAGAAACTGTATTTAGATTAATAGAGTAGAACTGAGAGTCCAGAAAAATACTGCCACATTTATGACCCACTGATTTTGACAAGGATCCTAAGACAACCCAATGAGGAAAGAGTAAACTTTTTAACAGATGGTTCTGGGAGACTGGCTATCTATATGTAAGATAAAAGTGGATTCCTACCACACACCACACTCAAAAACTATAGGCAGGGAGAAAAAATTCCAAATGGATGAAAGGTCTAAACATAAGAACCAAAATTATAAATATTTTAGAAGTGGCACTTGCCCATAATCCCAGCACTAGGGAGGCTGAGGCAGAAGAATTGCCCAGGCTACACAGTAAGTTCAAGGCTAGCCTGGAATACACAGTGAGACCCTGTCTGAAAACAAAACAAAAATTTTTAAGAAAAAATATAAGCATCAATCAATATGATCTTGGGTTAGGTAATGATTTCTCAGATATAATAGCAAAATCAAGGGCACAAAAGAAAAAAAAATTAACTGGACCTCATCAAAATGTAAAAATTTGTGCTTCAAAAGACACCATAAAGAAAGAGAACAGAATTGAGAAAATATTTGCAAATCATGTACCTATAAAGGACTTACACCAAAATAGAAAAAGAATTCATACTTTAACAAAGACAATCCAAATTTTAAATGGGCAAAGAATCAGAATAATCACCTCTCCAAAAGAAGACACAAAACTGCCCGATAAGCACAACAAAGATGAACAACATCATTAAGACACTGGCAAAAAAAACAAAACAAAACCTCTACAATGAGATACCACCTCACACCCAGTAAGATGACTATAATCAAAAAGTCAGATAATAGGCTGGGTGCTGTCGTGCCTAACCTTCAATGCCAGATACACAGAAGGCTGAAGCAGGAGGATTACAAGTTCCAGGCTAGCCATACTTTACCTCAAAATAAAAATAAAGAATAAAACAGGCTCGGATGTGACTCAGCACTCCCTGAGTTCAATCCCCAGCACCTCAGTACTGAAGGAAAATATATATAATAACAAATGTTATTTTGTGGGGAAATTATTACCTTAGTGCATTACTATTAGGACTGTAAAAGGCCCTTTGAAAAACAATTTGACAGTTCCTCAAAAGGCAGGCGTTCCAAGCACTCTGGGAGGCTGAGGCAGGAAGACTGCAAGTCTGAGCTCAGCCTGGGTAATTTAGCAACTTAGCAAGACCTTGTTTCAAAATAAAAATAAGGGTTGGGGATGCAGCTCAGTACGAAGGCCCTGGGTTCAATCCCAAGTAGGAAAAATGAAAGGCAGATGTGTAGAACCCACAGCTCACAGGCTGCATGCAGCCTGTTTTGTGGCCCCATGAGATCACAAGCTTGGAAATCTCACATTATGTGGTGATTTTTAGCAGGCGTTTTCATGACTTCACTGTGTGGTGCTTGCAGACTGTGCAGGGGACAAGGGAGCACCATGGAGGGCAGGGCACAGTGTCCTGCTCATCCTGCCTCCCACGCTGGCCACATACAGTCAGATAGAAACTGTCGCGTGCCAGGCTGCAGTGCCATGAGGCTGAGGACATAGTAATTATTACCATGATGGTAGCTTAACCTGCTTACATGAGCATGCGCCTGTGAACACAGACCTTTACTGTTACCGCCCGGGAGACATATACACTTCCTTGCTGAATTACTAAATGTGGGCTATGTTTATTTCATGAAATAATTTAACGTTAAAATACTTTTTAGCAGCTTTGCTACAGGACGTACAAAAATGCATCAAATACTTCTTTACTCATGATATTATCACAATTACATATACAGCATTGCTAATATAAAAATGATATAATGAAAAAAAAGACAGGGTCTCGCTATGTAGTCCAGGCTGGCCTCAAACTTGTGCTGATTCTCCTGCCTCGGCCTCCCGAGTGTTGGGAGGCTATAATAAAAACATTTTTAAAGGAAGGTTTGGGTTTTTTGTTGTTGTTGTTATTTTGGGTTTTTCTGGTTTTTGTTTTTTATTTTTTTATACTAGGGATCAAACTCGGGACCTTACACTTGTGAGGCAGGCAGCAGAACCACTGAACTAAATCCCCAGCCCAAGTTTTGTTCCTCATACACACCAATTATGTGTTTCATATGCAGTCCAAAACAATTCTTCACTCACTGTGGCCTAGGCAAGCCAAAAGCTTGTATACCGTGTTACAGTTACCACAGGACCCAGCAATTCAATCCCTACACATGTATCCACGAGAAATGACAACTATGTCCCTACAAAACTTACACAAAAATACTCATGGCAGCATTTTTCAGGATAAAACTGAAAAAGTTGAAACAACCCAGACATCCATCAAGAAATGAATGGATAAACAGGGTATGTCCGTAGAATGAAACACTTCAACAATAAAAATAAATGAAGTAACGATATAAACTACAACCTGGATGATGCTTACACTAAGGAAAAAAGCTAGTCACAAAGGACCATGTGCCATATGATTCCACTGTGATGAAAGGCCCCAAAAAGGAAATCTAGAGAAACAAAGGAATTAATGGTTCTTTAGTGCACAGGAATGACTGGCACAGGGTCAAGTTTTCTTTTTAAGGTGAAGAAAATGTCCTGAAACTGATGGTGCTGATGAACTTACTAAAAACCATGAAATGGATGCATTGCCTGAAGGTGAATTACACCTCAATACAGTGACTAAGAAAGCATATTTATGTTCTCATAATTTTATATCCTTCTGCTTGTCTGACTCAAAGCATGAAACTGTTTCTGTTCACTTTATCTCCACTGCCAAAAGATAAGTTCTGAGGAAAGAAGTGGAGTCATTTGTGTTTCCCAAAGAACCTTGGCCAAATGTCAATGTCATATTTGTTATGAAGTATTTCCACTGGCAGGAAAGGTGATTTTAAAAGTCCATTTGAAGTTACATAAAACAAATACAAAATTATCAATAGTTTACCTGGTGTGAATAAACTATAATAGTACATAAGATCCTAATGAGATAAATGACAATGTGAAATAGGAAGAAAAGGGCTAAAAGTATAGGGAAAGGGGGAAGGGTAGGGGAAAGGTAATAAGGGAAAAGAAAAAATAGGAGAAAATGAAAAAAATGGAAATAAAGTGTTTGTAAATGGGGAAGGAAGGAGGGGGTAAAGGGAGGGCAGGGACAAGGGGAAAAAATGAGAACCAAGACCTGTCATGTAAAGGTACAAGATCCCAATAATTAATGTAACTGTACTGTGTACCTAAAATGTACCAATAAACTCAATGAGGAAAAAAATTAGAAAAACAAGCAAATGCAAAACAAAAACGTTCCTCCCTTTGCTGAACAAAACTTTAACTTTTTTATTATCAATTATTCTACTTTATTCTCAAAGATATATTCTAGAAATACAAAATCAGTATTTCTTTTAGTACATTTTTAGGCAAAAGAGTGTTTCTGATTTGTTTTGTTTTGGAGGCAATGGATTTGTGGAACCCAGAGACACACTTTACCACTGAACTTCATCCCTAGTCCTTTGTTTCTTTTCCTTGAGACAGGATCTCACTAAGTTGCTGAGGCTGGCCTTGAACTTATGATCCTCCTGCCTGAACCTCCTCAGTAGCTAAAATTACAGGCATGTGGAAGATCTAATTTTCTTTCTATCACAAGATGCTAAAACCCAGGGCTGCGTGCATGCTAGGCAAGTGCTTGACCACAGATCTACAGCCCCCAGCCAAGAGTTAAAAGGAAACCTGTAGAGCTTCACCTCTGTGGGGATGGCTAACCATCCCCAAAAGGCAACTACAGGGTATGCTCTGCTGCGCTCAGTCAGCCTTTAAATCTATTTCTAATGCTGTTTACATCAGCTCTAAACCATCACAGAAACGCTACAAGAAGTCTCAGCCATACTGCAGCTCCTTTTCCACCATGCAATTACTTCCTTAGGCTCAGAGACCAAGAAAGTGTGCAATCATCATCATTTGCTAATCCTAGCCATACTATATTATCTGGCCCTTTACAGGCCAATCTATGTTATACATAAATTCATTATCAACTCTCCGGAAGTTCTGTGACTCACAACTTAGTATTTCA